TGTAGTTGTGAAATGAAAAAAAGACCATGAAAAATCATAGAGAATTTTGGTGTTAATAATGTTTCACACAATGGGCAAGGGTGTTACAGTCAAGAAGGTTTCACCATCCTCTATTCCGATTGATGTATACATAAAAGACAGCTAGATACTTATATAATTTAGTTATATTATCAACAGATACAATTATACAGACAGCTCTAAAGTCTGAGATTTTGTAAATCTTATCTAACAATACATAGCTCAAGGAAGCAATTACAACTACAACAGGTACTACTTAATATTGGACAGTTAGAAGGCAAAAACTCTGTGACAAGTACTTGAGCATTGCATCACTTTATTTTTCTCACCTTAATTACCTGATAAACGCTAAATGATATCCTTTTCCGTAATTAGCATTAATATCCCCAGGGTTGATAGTCTATTCCAGGACTACTTTCCCAACATTTTCTAGCAACCAAAATTATAGATTGTAAGACCCACAGGCAGTATAAAATAAGGTAATCTATCAAGAATCTTGTTTGAATCATTATTCAACTATATTAACCATGTATTTATATTTCTAAATATGAGATGAATCCCTTTCATACATTTGCTCAGATCAAACTCACAATCAGACAAATAATCATGATAAATTAGGCAGCAAAGCTAACCTACAATTTTATGAGCAAGAAAGAAAAAGCAAACCATCGAATTAGAAGAGAGATGCACTATAAAAAAAAAGGTTTGTTACCTTTCATTGCTAGCATTTAGGTCTTCGCCATCATCATTTTTATCCTCTCGTGATACGATATATGTCACTGTCCAATCCTATAGGTCATTGAGCAGAGGGGAACTGGAAAAATTTTCTTCCTCTAGAAAAACAGAAGGCTGAAAACAAAATAATGTAGAGAGTTCAGAGACTGTTAGAATAGAAACTCTTGAAACAATTGAAGCTTCCAAAGTCAACCATCAATATATATTATTGGATACCTTATGAATCTTCAAACTTAAATCCAGTAAACCTCTTAGAAATTTGCATCAAAATGGCCAGCTCCGATGGTGAACAATGGCTTTGAAGCTGTGAGATTAACATCAGAGAATTTCAGGAAGCAGTGGCCGTATAATTTACGTCTTAACGATCAGTACAGTTACATCAGTGGAGTACACAGGCTCTGGTTGTATTCTACAGATAGCCCACATTCTCGTGCAAGTGAAACAAATCTCGGGCTGAAATCCACGTCAAAGTAATGCTAAAATATCTCTTTACATATCTTTTGTCCAAGACACCATCTATTCTGAAAATGCAAAAAAAATACAATTAGGCCAGCACCAGAATGTTTATTCCAACTCGGAAAGAACTCAAGCTTTTGTTCACACAGTAGCCCACAATCTTTTTTCCCCTTGGAAAATAATTCACTTAAACCATTATCAAATGCTACAATTCAGGGTTATTATCATATTTGACATTAGATTCAAACTACAATAAGATATATAATTTAAAAATGGTTAATTGCACATAGGCCCCTATAGTATCGTTGTGTTGAACTTACTTTCCCCGTAGTCTCATTGTTGCAAGTAGACGCCTTGGGTTTCATTGTATTGACTCTTTTACCCTTTTCACCCAAGAGCAATATCTGCCAAATTTTCACTTATGGTAAAAGAGTTAAATTTGACTCTTTTACCCTTTTCACCCAAGAGCAATATCTGCCAAATTTTCACTTATGGTAAAAGAGTTAAATTAGCCCAGGGGTCTATCTGCAACAAAAATCAATATCTGCCAAATTTTCACTTATGGTAAAAGAGTTAAATTAGCCCAGGGGTCTATCTGCAACAAAAATATTACAAGTGTAGTAAGCTCAAAACAACAATACTACAGGTGATCTATGTGCAGTTAACCCCTTTCAGAAATATATCAAAATCTGACTTGTTAATGACATGCCATTACAGTTTGAACTATGGAAACTGTTCCTCGTCTTTGGCTCACAATATTCATTATTATTGCTGGGTTATGATTATTCTTCAGATGTATGGCAATTTGAAGGTGATGCTTATGTTCCTAATGAGACAACGGGAGTGTGCATCATGCAAATTTGCAGTACTAGGTTACATGCAACAACACTGATGTTGAGGGTGGACAATGGCACACTTCATTACTATATTGAAGACAATATCTATGATAGGTGGTTCAGAGTGAATGTGATCCATAACACAGGTGCAAAGAATATCAAGATTTAATTAACGGTGTTCTCAAGTTGATGGTTGGTGATACCCTGATGGAAGAGGAAGCTTTCATTACTTCAAGCTTGGTGTTTATGCACAGCATGATAGCTCCAAGTATACGGAATCAAGTTGGAAGGGAATTAAGGTCCTGAAATTATCCCATTGAAATGAAAATCATGCAAATGTTCGGTTGACGTAATTGTAAGTTTGTAACTATAACGTAACCAACTCCTGCAGATATAGAACATATAAATTGAGAAACTATGTATACAATTGTACTCCTATATATATGTGTAGAGAACTGAGTTCTCTCAGAAGGGGCGCATGATCTCGGGATAGTAAGATTGTTCACTAGTTCTTTTCGTCATACAGTGTGGAGTCTAATAAGCTTGTTCTGATGTCTAGTATATCCTTTGGGTATTGAATACAGTACACACAAATATTTTTGGGTATTGAATACAGTACACAAATATTTTTGTTGGATAAAGTGCATCAACCAAAACTTGTGATTTTGTCATCTGAACCCCAAAAAAAAGTCAAACAGTTTCCCTTATCTTAAACACATGGAAAGAGGCATCTTGGGAAGACATCTATGGAATATGGATAAACCATAGAGGACGACTAAGTGGATTTATAATAAAATAGGAAAAGGTTTTCCTATTAATACATGCAGAGGTTTGAAGTTTTAAACTTACTGCATAAAGAAATGTATAAAAGATTTTTAATTTCCAAAGTGACTGTCATTAATGAGCTGCACCTAACTGAATTATGTCACTATATAAACCCCAAGACAATTAGTTCTTTCATGAAGCAAATTATCTGTCACTATAAAATTTTCTCAACTATGGGCTCCTTTGCTTGGTTTCTCTTAGCATTCCTATTTCCATTAACTCTAGTGAAGGATGTCAATCTCTTATGCCATGGTGATCTCACTGATGGTTTTATACCTGTGCCATTAAATGAATCAAATTATCACAAGCTATGGCCATATAATCTACCTCTCTCTGACTGTTATAGCTTCACAGATGGAGTACGCAAGCTTTGGGTATACTCAACGGACAAATCACATTCTCACTCCAGCACAACCAAACCTCGGACTGAAATCAGCATTAGCTTGATTGATGATGTGAGTATCTACCTAGAAAATGCACAATTCTTTCTACTAGTTTGTCATAGAACCATAACAGCCACCAAAAAGACATTATAAAATTGACACTACTTCAAGTCGCTTTACATAGCCCACAAGCATCATTCGGATTTTAGTTTTGCCTAAACATTTTGAGCTCATCATATAGACAACCAGTATTGATAAGTTTTCTAGGAGCTAAACCTTATTGGTTCCTCTTAGGCTCTTACTTGTTACCACTTTTTCTAGGTCTTCTCCTTCTGGTTCTCTATCATTTCACATAGGTCTTATAAGCCTATACTTTAACCAGTTTTCTTTGTTTGAATGATGCTACACCAAGTTCGGCCAAGTTGGAGTATGGTTCCAGAGCCATATCATACTTCACACATGCTTGTTCTGATAGCTGTTGGTAGTTTTTAAGAAAGTCGAAAAGATTTTTCATATAATTTGGGCCATAACTCTATGATCAATGTCATATTCAGGGATATACTTATGCTTCAGGCATGTGGCAGTTCGAAAGGCAGGCTTATGTTCCAAACGGGACATCAGGTGTCTGCATCATGCAAATCTTTTGTTCCCCTAATGCTGATGGAGGGGCCACGACTCTAATGCTGAGGGTCTATGATGGGGCATTGAAATACTACCAGCAGCAAACTGTAGAGGACAATATTTATGATCAATGGTTCAAAGTGAATGTGATTCACGACACAGCTGCAAAAGTGGTAAAGGTTTTCATCAACAGTGCACTGAAATTGACCGTTAATAACCGAGGAGGGAGCATCCATTCCTTCAAGTTTGGTGTTTATACACAGAATAACAGCTCCTGCTACATGGAATCCTGCTGGAAGGGAATAAAGGTCTTGAAGTTTGTCTAATTGAATAAGACCATAGTATGTGCCATAAGTAACCATGAGGATATCTAGATGTCTTAGATTGTGCATCTAACCCCTCAGGAATGTGGGTGCTCTTTGCATTTAGCAAACGGATCGTAGGAAATAAACTTCAGTTTATGCATTAATATCTGTCTATGAACCACGTAAGTGCATGTGTGGTTCAACAAGCCCACAAACGATCAGACCCCCAAGTTTTAAGACCAATAAGACAGAAGGATCTGTATCCGAGTCTAAGATTTAATAGGTCTCCAAGCTAAAGAAGATATGAAAGTAATATATATTCACCAGTTTTTCCTTTTTTTCGTGAATATTATAAGAGTAAATAATTTGAGCATCAGACTGAATTTCCATGAGAAGTGTTCTATATACCTATTAATTTTGACACAGAAGCCATGGTCATTGAGCAAATATGTATAGACATAACCCCTCCTCTCCTGCCCCACGAAAAAAATCACTAAAAATGTTAATTACGGAAAATGAAATGATGATGTTGGTGAAATAACAATGTAAATTCTGCAGGTTTCTAGTAAAGAAAGCACTGGCTGCATGACTTTGAGTCCATGGAATTCTTGTGAATAACAATAATTCAGAGTCCAGATTACGAGGGATATGGAAAATCTTAAGAATACAATATTCATTGGAATGTTTCCAATTGGTTTACTCCCATAGTGACAATACTCCCTTTATCGTTTAGTACCCTTACTCCTTTTAATTCAGATTTCAATATCCATGATTACGGGGAATACTTTGACCTAGTAACTAGCTTAAGACATGCAGACAACTGAAGCCGGCAGATAATAATTTGAAAAGGATACAAAAGAACAAATAATGTAAGGTGAAAATTCAACATTGGATTATCTAGCATTACCAGTTTGACACTTAGCAGGCAACAACTCTAGGATTCCCATTATTCTACTTTTATGTCTCCCAATTAACTGCTCCCAAATTAAACACTTGATGACCTCGCTCTTAATTAGCATTGAACTAGTCACTGGCCTCAGTTGCTTATCTCTTCAGTAGAATATATCTTCCCTAGATTAACACAAAGCATATTGTTTATAATTCTACTCAAAATGGCTTAGCAATAACCAAAACTAGCCGAAAGACAAGAGTCTAGACGTGAAAGCCGCAATAGAGAACGATAAAAGAATAAATCCATGCATGCTCCAATAATTACATTTTTAAGCCATGCATGCTGACTTAGGTTATTACCTAATATCATGGCATATACCATGATGGCAACCATCTAGGATTGGGAATACACCTACTAAAAGATACAATAAAGCTGGTGAGCACTAAGTCCAGATCTCTATAAGTAGAGTGAGGAAGGACAAGGCATTTAGACCTAGCAACAGATCTATTTCACAATAAAATAAAATCCCCCCAACTCTCAGAAAGTAAAATGGAAGCCTGCACTTTGCTCTTCTTGCTTGTGTGCTTAACCCTCCTCCAGCTCCATATGCATGAAGCTCTGTCTATGCTAGGAAAAGATCCTACTCAAGGGTTCACCTGTCTTCCTCTCAACAGTTCTAACTTTGACATCCAAAGACCTTATGATTTGGCAGTCAGTGAGAGATATAGCTTTATCAATGGAATCCATAAACTATGGGTTCTGTCTGATGACAAACCACTCTCAATTACAAGCCACACTTTACCACGAACAGAGATTCGAATTAAAGTAGGTGTTATCTTCATTTCAAACTGATCATAAAGGTGTTCGTGATTCACATCACACACAAATCAAAATAAGTGATCAACACTGCCACCGCGTGCTAACTAGCATCTTTCCTACCAAAATACCAGTTAAAATTATACAGTTTCCAGTGCAATCTCACATCTAGCTAAGTCTATTTGTGCTCTTTGGTCTTGGCTGGCTTGGATTTGAAAGTAAGATCCAATAGACGAACCATCAACTACCAGATATTATGTTATCATTCATGTTTGGAGAGGTTGGATTTAATACTCAATTATAGTAGGATTGCTCTTCGCAAGTTGAGTTTGGCACTTAAACCAATTTATTGGGTTTACCTCTGAATTTTTACATGACTTTAAAAGTTACCTAATTAAGATATGAATCTTGTGTGAGGGTATTAAATAAAACCTGACTATATGGATTAGACTATGATATATCCAATGTGTGTATGCTACTATTCAAGAGGGAAGACTTGGAGCCTAGTATATGCCTTAATTATTTCTGATTACATTAACTTTTGTCTGGCCTTCATAACTAACAAGGTTATATTTCTTCGTATGGTTATTCTTCAGGTGTATGGCAGTTTGAAGGGCATGCTTACGTCCCAAGTGGGACATCAGGAGTGTGTATCATGCAAGTCTTTGGTTCGAGTAAGAGGGCGACAACTCTGATGCTAAGGGTCTACAATGGTGCACTTATGTATTATAGGTCATTGCTCATAGCTGATGATATCTACGGGAGATGGTTCAGAGTGAATGTGATCCATGATACAGGTGCTGGATTGGTCAGAGTTTTCATTGATGGAGATCTCAGGCTAGTTGCTAATGATACAGGGGGAGCTTCTCATTACTTCAAATGTGGTGTTTACACGCAAAATAATTGTTCCTATTTCATGGAATCCCGCTGGAAGGGAATCAAGGTCTTGAAGTTATCTGATTGAAACAAGGCGTGATAGCATGGCTTCAAAGTATTTAATAAAATTTTGTTTACAAGACTGCCTTGTGTTCATCTGTGCAAACTGCCAATGGGTTCTTCGGACCAATTAAACAAGATACACACGTTTTTTTCTAATTTTGGACTGAGAAAGTCCAAGGAATTAGATTCCACAATATTAACCAACTTATTTCTAATTCAACAATACATGAAATTGCATATGATTGAAATGAGACAATTAGAGTATAAATGACTAAATGTCAAAATTCCCTTCCAATTCAAACTATGAGAAAAGAACAAAATTAAAAGCAGCATGACTTGTTCTTAGTTGGTGCCCCAGTTCCTTCCATTAAGATTTTTATTTCTCTGCTCTTGGTTAGCCTCTGAGACAGAAAATTAAAGTGAATCAAGAAATTAAATTTCTCTGTTTCTCTATTTATGTATGAATATGGATATGTGTGTGTGTATCGTGTGTGAAGGTGTGCACAGTAAAAATTGGAGTAGCGTAGTAATAAAGAATAGAGAAATAGTCTATAACACTGTGATCAGATCACCTTATATAGTATTATCAATTATGAAAAGAAAAATCACATATGCACTTGAAAAAGGGAGCAATTATTGCTATATACATCTGATTATCACATATGCACTTGCATACAGGATCATTAGGTGTTGAAGTCCTGCAAAATAACTTCCTTGAGAAATGACAGAAACAAAAGTAAAATAAAGATATAAAAACTGCCCGTTCAATCAACGGGTCTGCTCTAAATTGACTTTATTATAAGATAATCATGGGGTCAAAATCTGCAGATGTAGTAAATACAAAACTTCCAAACTTCTTAGCTTTTGGGTCACTCCAAATTTATTTACATATTTAAAAAACGAAGTTTCGCATAGTGTGTGCTTCTGACATAACCAGAGCACAACTATTCATTATCTTCAGTAAAAAAAATTCTATCTGAATCTTAATAATTTATTTTGGATTTTTCTGCCTTATTCAGGGAAGTAGCCAGATTTTCCAACAGCACATGTACTAAGCATACGATCTGATTCACAAGTTCAAATATATTGAATAAATGTCAAAATCATATCTATTGTGATGGAACAAAAAGGACAGCTATCAAAGCATACATTACAAGGGAAGCAGACCATGTTTGTCAGAAATTATATGAGCAGGCATCAAGCAATATTTTATGATTCAAGAACCGTAACAAGCATAAGTGTGAAAGCAAAGCATCTTCTGCTATGCGGCAGCATGAACGTTTTTACTCTCCTGACTGCTAAGCCTTCCTGGAAACTAACCACTGACAAATACATGTCTATGGTTACATCACCTGCTTCCTCACTGTTCTCCTATAAATTCCCCTTACATTTTTCTAGTATCTGCACCATCTGGCCCTCACAAAAAATGACATCATTTACTTGGTTTCTTTTTACACTCCTTGCTTCCCTCAACCTGCTGAAAGATACTCATCTCTTCTGCAGTGCTGATCCCACCGATGGCTTTACTGCAATGCCATTATCTGAAAGGAACTTTGATATGCAATGGCCATACAACCTAAATCTCAACGATCGATACAGCTATGTTGATGGAGTACGAAGGCTTTGGGTGTATTCAACTGACAAGCCATTCAAACCAAGCACCACCACAAAACCACGGACTGAAATCCGCATCCGGGTAATGTTTGATAATCTCTTTGAAGAGAATAGTTTCAATTTACACCTTAGTTTCCACTAGAATCAGATTGATAAAGAATGTTCAACGAGTTGTATTTCTCATCCTTACTATGGTGCAGGGATATGACTACTCTTCTGGTGTATGGCAATTTGAAGGCTATGGCTTTGTGCCCAATGGCACCAGTGGCACAGCAATCATGCAGATTCATCGCACTACGCATGCAGCTACTGTGCTAATGCTGATGGTCGTTGATGGTCAACTGAAGTTCTACCATAGCACCTTGGTGGAATCAAACATCTACGACAGGTGGATGAGATTAAATGTGATACATGACGTGGATGCCAATAAAATAACTGTGTTCATCGATGGTGTTAAAAAGCTACAGATTGAGGGAAATGGTCCAAATACCTTCTATTTCAAGTGCGGGGTTTATGCCCAGAGGGATGAAGCACATTACATGGAATCAAGGTGGAGAGATATCAGAGTGCTTAAGAAGAATGGGTGAAGTTGCAAATGTAATAATTTAAACAATCATTATGTGATGGAAGATCAAACTCTTAACAAAGTAATGTATGTTAAAGCATCGTGCGTATCCTAGTTATTAATAAAAAACTCTTATGTGCTACACCAAACAGCCTACTTTCTTATCTTCCATGAGGCAAAAATACACTAAACTATATGAAAGAGATTCAAAAGATTCTGGAGGAGTCTCAATGTATTGCCCTATCAGAATGACAAAAGAAAAGGAAACAAGAGGCTGGAAAGGAAAATATAACACAGCTTGATTCATGGCATGAAGAATAGAAGGACCAGTGTTTCAAACCTAGATCAGAACCACCTATCTTGTCCATCAAAATCACCAATGAACTGCATATTTCTTGAAACCAAATAAAGGATGATTCATATGTAATCTGGATGAATTAACAGAGTGAACCACACAGAGGTCCCTATCCTTGTAAGAGAATTTATAAAGGAGCAATCAAAATGTGATTATAAACTTTGTGGTCAAAATCTGCACACCTGGTACCAAAATCTCGAACTTTGTAGCATGTAGATTACAGGGGCACATTTTATTTACTTTTCAAAATGATATTGCACATGGTATTTTATTATGAAATCTACAGAGCACATTTATTCATCATATTCAGTAGATTTTACTTCGCATGCAAAAAAATTATTTTGCTCTGTCTGCCTTCTACAGTAAAATAGACCAGATTTTGTACAAAGACATATATTTTGATTGAAGAGCAAGGATAGAGCAAATATATGTCAAAATATCATGGTGATTGAGCTAAAGAGAGAACTATGTTAACATATATTACAAACCATTCTTCTAAGAAAATATATAAGGAAAGCATCAAGTAATTGTTTTATGTTCCTGAACGAGAACAAGGATAAGGTAAAAAACAAAGCCGGTTCTTTCTAGTCAGCCAACTAATATTTTACTCAATTGATCTCTAAGTCAGTCTTATAAACTAACCTTCCGGACAAATAGGTCACTATCTGTGCATCACCCTTTCTATAAGTATCCCTTCCACCTTTCTGATTTCTGCATCATCTCTCACTTGCATAGTATTTTCTCTAAATGGCACCATTTACTTGCCTTCTGTTTGCATTTCTTGCTTCCCTAAGCATGCTAAAAGATACTCATCTCTTCTGCAGTGCAGATCCCACGGATGGCTTCACAGACGTGCCATTAACAGAATATAATTTTGAGATGCAATGGCCATACAATCTAAATCTAAGTGATAGATACAGTAACACCGATGGAGTGCGCAGGCTTTGGGTGTATTCAACTGACAAGCCATTCAACCCAACCACCACAACAAAACCACGAACTGAAATTCGCATACGTGTAATTTCTGATACTCTTTCAAGAAAGTAGTTTTAAATTTTAATTAATACGAAAGGTTTTACTAGAGTTAGATGGATAAAGAGGTATCAACAGTTCATAGGTCTCATCCTTATTTTGGTGCAGGGATATGACTATTCATCAGGTGTATGGCAGTTTGAAGGTTATGGATTTGTGCCCAACGGCACTAGCGGTACATCAATCGTGCAGATCCATCGCACTACATATCCAGCTACCGTGTTAATGCTGATGGTCGTTGATGGTCAATTGAAGTTCTATCACAGGACCTTAGTGGAACCAAATATCTATGACAGGTGGATGAGGGTAAATGTGATACATGATGTGGATTCCAATAAGATAACTGTGTTTGTTAATGATGTTCAAAAGCTAGAGATAGAGGGCAATGGTCCAAATGCTTTCTATTTCAAGTGCGGGGTATATGGCCAGACAGACGAAACGTATTACATGGAGTCTATGTGGAGGGATATCAGAGTACTCAAGAAAGATGGGTGAATTTATAATACATGTATTCATTTCAACCATCATGTATAATGTGATGGAACATCAAAAGCTTCATAAAGTGATGCAAAAATGTGTGTAATGACTACCCTCTTTAATAGCAAGAAGCGCTTAAGAAAATCAAACTGCCTGCTTCCATTGGTCCATGTACTAGTGATCTTTCCAATTAGAAGAAAAGAAATTGTAAAGCGACTTATCTACAAATCATCTGGAGGAGATTGCCCAATCAAAATTATAAAAAGTAATAACCTGGAAAAATAAGAAGCTAAAAAGGGTATACAAAACAGCTTAAATCCAAGAGAGCAAGGTCAATGATATGGAGAATGGACCAGTGAGAAAACAGGACAGGAACAGCCTACATCACCAGTCAGCTCATTAATGAACCAATAATGTCTTAAAATCCACATAATAAATGGTTTACTGTTGAGTTGGAGTGGACTAACTTGGTGAAATAACAAGCTTACTAAAACCTGGTTCATAAAAGTAATATGAATTTCTTATGTGCCAAAACTTGAATAGGGGACTTGGAACATTGTCTAACAATTCCTATTAAATTAAAAATTGTCAAATAAGGGGTATTTATATAATAAGTTTATGTATACGACAAGGACCCAATTGGTTCCTCTTACACATATCTCTGCTGTAACATCATCATGACATTAGGATGCCTCGCTCTTGATCCTAATTAAACTCCTAACCCCAGTGAAAATCACCAATGCAACTCTGCTCCCGTCCGCAACCAAGCGCCTTGTTCTTGTTGAACCAGATCTTACCACATGCCTTGGTCTATATAACTCCCCTCTTCAATGCATACAGGTCTGATCTTCATTACTCTCACTGCAAATTTCTCTCCATCAACTTCACCTCACAGCAAAGTTTGCTACCCTTACATCCCGACTAAAACAGCCGCCTTTGAACCATCTTTCAACTTCAAACTTTGACCTTGACCATCATCTTTGACTTTGACTTGGGTCATCTTCATGCCTTTACAGAATTTCATAGAACTATATTCTTCTTCTCCTTCTTCTCCTCCTCCTCCTTTTTCGATTTGAGAATACATAGAACTATCTTCTCAACCACCATTTTCACCATCACAGAGCCATCTTCAGATCTTCATCACATGGCATGCCTTCATCATCTCCATGATTCATCATCAGTTCCACCGTCAGTTCCTCACCTTCTATTCTTTTGTTAATTCTTTGCTTTCCATTTAGTCTGTCATTTAGTCAACAGAAAAAGGCCCGTGACGCCCGTGACTCAGTCAACCATCAGTATGGTATATTTAGACGGTTTAGTGGGGATTTTGGAGGATTTTTATGGGTTTGGGGAATGGTAATGGGGACAAATACAAAACCTATTGTGTTCTTGAGCGTATTTCAAGCAGAGCCACCGGTAGAAAATTGATGAGTGAAGATTAATCCAATAGATGGCGGCAAGAAGAAGATTCTAAACTCAGGGTCCTCTTCAATGGAAAGATGAGTGGGGATTAACCTGAATGTTCACAACATTGATCAGTGAAGATTTCAAGGATGGTATTTAATGCTCAAGGTTTCATCTCCAAATGAAGTTTCATAAAACATAGGCATCGAGTCTAAGAAGGATATTTATCTATCTCAATGTTTGCAGGGGCTGCAATGCTAAGCCACAAGTCAGTAGATACTCCTACTGACCAGAACAGAGATATGCTATCATATCAGGGAAATACATCGAGCGAACTCAGAAATCCATTTAGTACATGCAGATAGTTCATTGATAACATTTTGTAAAGACACAGTAAAATATTAACAACAAACAATTATAAACTGTTGTCAATATCAGTCAACGGATAAGAGAATCAAGCATGATAGAAAATAACTTTTCAAAAAAAACATAAATAGACAATTACGAGAACTCCATGTATTAGTTGTGAATTTTTTGCAAATTATCTTTAAAAAAACTAATCTCTAGAAATTAATAGAAGAATAAATGAGTTTAGAGAGAAATTAGGGTTTAATTCCAAAATTTCTCTACAATTAGGAGAATATCATACACAAACATGTAATTAAGCAAAAACTAACTGTACGAATACAATGTCCGATACGATTCCAGCCACATAGAATGTTGAACGTACTACAATGTAATTTCAAATTCTCTCAGTGCGGAAATCGTGAAAATGAATCAAATTATCATAAGCTATGGCCGTATAATCAACCTCTCGCTGACCGTTATAGCTTCACAGATGGAGTACGGAAGTTTTGGGTATACTCAACAGACAAACCACATTCTTGATCCAGCACAACCAAACCTCGGACTGAAATCAGCATTAGCTTGATTAATGACATGAGTATCTTCCTAGAAAATCCGCAATCATTTCTACTAGTTCATTGTAGAACCATAACAGCCACCAAAAAGACATTATAAAGTTGACACTACCTTATAGTCGCTTGACATAGCCCACAAGCATCATTTAAATTTTTTGATCTCATTATTTGAGAATGGGTATCGTAGAGGCATCTAGGAACTAAATCTAGATTTACCGGTTCCTCCAACTTGTTACCACTTTTTCAACGTCCTATCCTTCAGGATCTCATGCAGGTCCTATAAGCATACACATTTTCACTGCTTCAGCTATGTTAGATTAGCTTAGTTTTTCAGAAAGATGAAAACATTGGATTTACATATAATTAGGGCCAGAACTCTATGTTAGATTAGCTTAGTTTTTCAGAAAGATGAAAACATTGGATTTACATATAATTAGGGCCAGAACTCTATGATCAACTTCTTGTGCAGGGATGAAAGATGAAAACATTGGATTTACATATAATTAGGGCCAGAACTCTATGATCAACTTCTTGTGCAGGGACATACTTATTCTTCAGGTGTATGGCAGTTTGAAGGGAAGGCTTATCTTCCTAATGGGACATTGCGCGTCTGCATAATGCAAATCTTTGGTTCCCCAGATGCTGATGGAGGGGCCTCAACTATAATGTTGAGGGTCTATGATGGGGCACTGAAATACTACCAACAGCAAACTGTTGAGGACAGTATCTATGATCGATGGTTCCAAGTGAATGTGATTCATGACACCGCTGCAAAGGTGGTAAAGGTTTTCATCAACAGTGCACTGAACTTTACTGTTAATAACCGAGGAGGGAGCATTCATTCCTTCAAGATTGGTATTTACCATGTTTGCACGCAGAATAACAGCTCCTGTTACATGGAATCCTACTGGACCGGAATAAGGGTTTTGAAGTTTGTCTAACTGAGAAGGACAACAGCTAGATGTCTTAGAGTGTCTTAGAGTGTGCATCTAACCCCTCAGGCACATGGTCTTTGCAGTTAGCAATGGATAATAGGAAATAAACTTCTGTTTGCATATTAATTGTCTGTCTGTGTAACTACATATGTAACTAAGTGCACATGTGGCTGAAATACGACCAGACCACCAAGATTCTTATGTTTAAGACCAATAATACAGAAGGGTCCATTTCCTAGTGTAAGATTTAATAGGTTTCCGAGCTAAAGAAGATTCAAAAATAATATATAGTCACCAGTGTTTCCTTTTTCCAACGAACCTTGTAAGAGTAAATAATTTGAGCATCAGGTTGAATTTTCTTCAGAAGTGTTCTATATAAATATAAACCATTAATTTTGACACAGAAACCACTCTCATTGAGCAAGTACGTCGAGACAAAACCCCTCCCCCCACCCCCCACCCCACAATACTCTATATGCTATTACGGAAAATGAAGGTCTCTCTTGCCACCAAAATAAAAACTAGAATAAACGAAATGATGATGATGATGATGATTACTAGAATAACAATGCAAACTTTTACAGGTAAACGTTGGCTAAATGAGTTTATGAAATTCTTGTGAATAACATAAATTTATACTCCAGATTATGAGGGATATGGAAATCTATGATTATGAGGGATATGGAAACCTTAGGGATACAATATTTATTGGAAACAGACAATTGAGTTGCTCTCATAGTGACAATGCTCCCTTTATCATTTAGTCCCCTTGCTCCTTTTAATTGAGATTTTAATATCCATGATTACAGGGAATACTTTGACCTAGTAGCTAGCTTAAGACATGCAGATAACTGAAGTCTGCTGACAATCGATTGAAAAAGACACAGTAGAAAATGTAGTGCAACACAAAAATTCAACATTGATTTGTCTGCTACTGTCTAGTTTGACACTTAGCAGGCAACAACTCTAGGTTTCCCAGTATTTGTTTTTTACGACTCGCATATTAACTGCGCTCCCAAATTAACTACTGATGGCCTCCCTCTTAATTAGCATTGAACTAATCATTGCCTTGGCTGCTTATCTCTTCAGTAGGTTATATCTTCACTACATTAACACAAAGAATATTGTTTATCAGTCTACTCAAAAGGCTTAGCAAAACTAGACAAATGGCAGAGTCTAGATGCGAAAGCTGAGACAGAGAAAGATACAAGAATAAAATCCGTGCATGCTGCCATAAATTTTTAAGCCATGCATGCTGACTCAAGTTTTTGAGTTATTACCTAATGTCATGGCATATGCCAAGATGACAACCATCTAAGGTTGGCATACACTTATTAAAAGATACAATAAAGCTGCCGAGCACTAGGTCTAGATCCCTATAAGTAGAGTGTGGATGGGCATGGCAACTAGACCTAGCAACAGATCTATTGCACAATAATAAAATCCTCCAACTCTTCAGAAAGTAAAATGGGAGCTTGCTCCTTGCTCTTCATGTTTGTCTACTTAGTCCTCTTCCAGTTCCATATGCATGGAGCCCGGTCTATGCTAGGAAAAGATCCTACTCATGGGTTCATCTCTCTCCCTCTCAACTGTTCTAACTTTGACATCCAAAGACCCTATGATTTGGCAGTCAGTAACAGATACAGCTTCATCGATGGAATTCATAAACTATGGGTCCTGTCTACAGACAAGCCACACTCAATTACAAGCCACACTTCTGCACGAACAGAGATTCGGATTAAAGTAGGTGTTACCTTCATTTCAAGCTGATCATAAAGATGAGTATGAGTCACAACACACACGACTCAAAATAAGTAATGTTGTCACCGCATGCTAACCAGCATATTCCAACATAAATATTAATTTAAATTTATAGAGTTTCCCATGCAATGTCACATCTAACTGAGTCCGTAAGTTCTTCTTAGTCTTGGCTGGCTTGGACTTTGAAAGTGAGATCCAATATATAAACCATCAATTATCAGATAGTACCTGATCGTTCATGTTTGAACAGGTTGGGCAATGAGTTTAATCTCATTTATATTAGGGTTACTCTTCGCTAGTTAGAGTTTGGCTCTCAACCAATTTATTTGATTCACCTTTAAATTTGGCACATGGCTGGCAAAGTTACATAATCTAGATATTAATTTTGTGCGAGGATATCTATATATCACTATTCAGGAGGAAAGACTTGGAGACTAGTACATGCCTCAAGTATTTCTGATGACGTTAAACTTTCTCCGGCCTTCATAATTAACAAAGTTATTTTTCTTCATGTAGGGATATGATTATTCTTCAGGCGTATGGCAGTTCGAAGGGCATGCTTATGTCCCAAGTGGGACATCAGGAGTGTGTATCATGCAAGTCTTTGGTTCGAGTAAGAGGGCGACAACTCTGATGCTAAGGGTCTACAGTGGTGCACTCATGTATTATCGGTCATTGCTCATAGCTGATGATATCTATGGGAGATGGTTCAGAGTGAATGTGATCCATGATACAGGTGCTGCATTGGTCAGCATTTTCATTGATGGAGATCTCAAGCTAGTTGCTAATGATACAGGGGGAGCTTCTCATTACTTTAAATGTGGTGTTTACATGCAAAATAATGCTTCCTATTTTATGGAATCCCGTTGGAAGGGAATCAAGGTCTTGAAGTTATCTAATTGAAACAAGGCAGGATAGTCAGGCTTCAAAATATTAATAAGATTCTGTGTACAAGACTAAATTGTGTTCATCAGTGCAAACTGACAATTGGTTCTGTTAGGGATTAAGAAGCACACAAACAATAACCACACAAATAAGGAGGGCAAGTACCAACACAACACAAAGAGTTTTACATGGTTCGGCCGAGCTTGCCTACATCCACTATCTTCACAAACCAATACGACCATTACAATTGATACAAGTTTTGCATGGACAAACTTGAAAACCCTTGCAAATCTCACATCTCTCAAGGAACGTGAGAACACCTATCACTCAAGAGCTCCAAGAGGCTACCATCACATCACTCATAGAACCGAAGGACACCGATCACTCAAGACTTCTAAGAGGATCCTCCCTCTCACCTAGAGGATGAGTGGATGACCATCTCCCAACACACCCACATCCTTTTATATAGTCTTTATCCTTACTATTGCCAATGACCAATTAATACTCTTGGCAATTTCCAAGAGAAACCTTCAAGCTTCTAATGCACGCACCCTTCAAACTTTCCGTCCTCTGCATTCTCCAATGTTGACTACCCTTTCAATCTTCCTAGTGAATATAATGGACTCCTTCCTCATTTATGAGATTTGGGGAGAATCCCAATAGGTTCTTAGGACAAATTAAACATGATACAAAATTTATTATCTAATTTTAGACTGCTAAATATCAAGGAATTACACTCCACAACATTAACCAATTTATTTCTATTTCAACAATAAAGGAAATTACATACGAATATGAGACAGTTATCTAAATGACTAGATGACAAAATTCCTTTCCTATTCAAGCTATAGGTTTTGTTCAAAAAAATTTAAAAGTAGCATGCACCTTGCAGTCGACAAGACTTGCTCTGAGTTGGTGCTCTTGTTCATTCCGTTAAAACTTTCATTTCTTTACTCCCAGTTAGCTTCTGAGACAAGAAACTTAAGTGAATCAAGAAATTAACGTTCTCCGTTTCTCTATTAAATATGAATTAAATATGAATAGGGATATGTATGTGTATAAACATGAAGATGTGCACAGTAAAAACTAGAGTAGGGCAGTAACAGAGAATAGAGAAACAATTCATAATGTTGTGATCAGAGCATCTTGTATAGTATTATGACAAGAAATTTTCCATATGCACTTGCAAAAGGAAAGCAATTATTGCTATATACATCTGATTATCAAACATATGCACCTGCAAACTAACTTCTTTGAGAAATGACAGAAAACAAAAGTAAATTAAAGAGGAAAAAAACTGCTCGTTTTATCAACAGATCGGCTATAAATTGACTTTATTATAAGATAATCATGGGGTTTAAATCTGCACAAAGGTATTAAACATAAAATTTCCAACTTCTCAGCTTTTGGGTCACTCCAAAGTTTATTTATCATTTTAAGACGAAGTTTCGCATATTATGTGATTCTGAAATAACCAGAGCACAACTATTCATTACATTCAGGAGTATTTTGTTTTCTATCTGAAAATTAATGTTTTATTTTTGGTTTTTCTGTCTTATTCAGGAAAGAGACTAGATTTTATAACAGCAGATATACTAAGCATACATTTCGATTCCCGAGTTCTAATAGATTGAATACGCGTCAAAATCATATCTACTGTGATGAAACAAAAAAGAAAACTATCGAAGCATATATTACAAGAGAAGCACGCCATTTCTCTCAGTAATTATACAAGTAAGCACCAATTATTTGTTTTATAATTCAAGAAAGGAACTAGCGTAAGCGTGAAAACAAAGCATATTCGTCCATTCGGCAATATGAACGTTTTTACTCTGCTGCCCTCTAAGCCTTCCTACAAACTAACCACACTGACAAATACATTTCTATGTGTACATAACCTGCTCCTTCATTACTCTCCTATAAATCCCCTTACGCCCCTCTAGTACCCACACCATCTGGCCTCCCATATCCATATAATTCACTTAAAATGACTTCGTTTACTTGGTTTCTTTTAGCATTCCTTGCTTCTCTCAACCTGCTGAAAGAAACTCGTCTCTTCTGCAGTGCTGATCCCACCAATGGTTTTACAGCCATGCCATTAACTGAAAGGAATTTTCATATGCAATGGCCATGCAAACTAAAACTCAGCGATCGATACAGCTATGTCGATGGAGTACATAGGCGTTGGGCGTATTCAACTGACAAGCCATTCAACCCAACCACCACAACAAAACCACAAACTGATATCCGCATACGTGTCATTTCTGGTAGTCTTTGAACTTTGAAGAAAATACGTAGTTTTAATTAATACCTATTACCTAAATTTCCACTAGAATCAGATTGACAAAGAATGTTCAACAAGTTGCTGTTCTCATCCTTGCTTTGTTGCAGGTATATGACTACTCTTCAGGTGTATGGCAATTTCAAGGTTATGGCTTTGTGCCCAATGGCACCAGTGGTACAGCAATTATGCAGATCCATCACACTACTTATGGAGCTACTGTACTAATGCTGATGGTCGTTCATGATCAACTGAAGTTTTACCATAGCACCGTGGTGGAATCAAACATCTATGATAGGTGGATGAGATTAAATGTGATACATGATGTGGACGCCAATAAGAAAACTGTGTTCATCGATGGTGTTAAAAAGCTACAGACTGAGGGAAATGTTCCATATACTTACTATTTTAAGTGTGGGGTTTATGCTCAGGGGGATGAAGCTCATTGTTGCAGCGAGGAGCTTCACAGACACAGAATATGTCTATACAAGAATGGAGAATAACAACACTGAATAAACACAGTGAAGACAAAGAGAACAGCACACAATGATTTAACGTGGTTCGGTCAGTATGACCTACGTCCATGGACGAGAACAACTGAGAACTTCACTAATCACAAAAGAGAAGATTACAAAAAAGGAGATCACTCTCTAACCAAAGAATCACACAAAAAAAAGATTTCTATTTCTATCTCTCTTCTCTCTCTAATTCTTTTCTTTCTCTCCGTCTGATGCACTGAACTCTCTCCCACACCACCCCTTTTATAACCTCTTAACAATAATAATAAAATTAATAAAATGTTTGGTGGAATAGTAAATTGGAGAAGGTGGCACAGTGAAATTAGGCGTAGGGGTTAAATGTTTGTTTAAATATTCAAAAGTCACATGACAAATCACCATCTTGACTTTGAATATGAAGATTTCTTCTCTTCACTCTTGTTGTCTCGCCAGAAGCCCCTTACGGGCTTAACCTCCGCTTTGTCGAACTATAAGCAATTCGAGACAATGCTCGAACTTGCGCGAAGGTACAGGTTTCGTCAACATATCTCTTGGATTATCTGTAATACCAATTTTTTTAATTTTGATGACTTTAATTTTTCTAATAAAACGATACCTGACATCTATATGTTTGGTTCTTTCATGATACATCTGATGCTTCGTCAAATATATAGCATTCTGGCTGTCACAAAATATTTAGTAACACATTGGTGTAAGCCGAGATCTTCAACCAAACCTCTCAACCAAATGGCTTCCTTCACTGCTTTTGTCACTATCATATACTCTGCCTCTGTGGTAGACAAAATAACTGTCGATTGTAGAGTCGTCTTCCAACTAATTGCACTACCTAAAAGAGTGAATATATAACTTATCAGTGATCATCTCTTATCCAAATCGCCCACATAATCTGAATCAGAATAGCCAAGTATTCTACAATCTGAGTTTGTATTCCTGCGAAAATATAAACCAATATTAGCTGACCCTCTCAAATATCTGAGTACCCATTTCATAACCTGCCAATGGATCTTTCCAGACTTATCCATATACTGACTCATAACACTGACTGCATGTGAAATATCTGAACGGGTGCAGATCATAGCATACATAATGCTTCCAACTGCACTAGCATAAGGAACATAACACATGTATTGTTTCTCCTCTTCACTCTGAGGTGATAAATCTGCTGAGAGACGAAAATAAGCAGCAAGCGGAGTCTTCACAGGCTTAGCATCAAGCATGCCAAATCTCTTCTACACTTTCTTGATGTATTTCTCCTGAGATAGGAATAAACTTTATTCTCGCTTGTTCCTATAAATATCCATCCCCAAAGCCTTCTTTGTTGCTCCTAAGTTCTTCATCTCAAACTCATGTTTGAGTTGAGATTTCAACTTGTTGATTTCTGACATATCTTTAGCTCCAATCAGCATGTCAAAAATATACAAAAGCAAATACACAAAAGAATCATCATTAAGCTTTTTATGATAGACAAAACTATCATATTTACTCCTAAAGTAACCATGCTCAAACATGAAAGTATCAAATCTCAAATACCATTATCTCGGAGACTGTTTCAATCCACAAAGAAATTTCTTTAACCTGCACATATGATCTTTTTTCCTTCAACAATGAATCCCTCTGGCTGACGCATAAAAATCTGCTCCTCAAGCTAACCATGTAGAAAAGTCGTCTTCACATCAAGTTGCTCAAGCTCCAAATTAAAATGAACAACCATGGCAAGCAATACAAAGATTGATGTGTGTTTTACAACTGGAGAGAATACTTCATTGAAGTCTACACCTTCAGTCTGACTATAGCATTTAGCTACCAAGCGTGTCTTATACCTTACAGAATCTGTATCCGGATCTTCTTCTTTCTTCTTGAAGACCCATTTACAGTCAACGATCTTTTGTCCTCTTGGTGGCTTCACTAACTCCCATGTCTTTGTAGCCTTATTGCCACTAATAGTCTCATTATAGGTAGAAGGCTCTAGAATCTCAATCGATTCTGATATACTCAAAGCGTAAGCAAGCATGTCTGCATAACGTTGAGGAAGTCGAATCTGTCTTTTTGTTCTCCCGGTACAATATTATATTGTTGCTCTTGCGATGTATCAGCATCTGAAGTTGAACATTCCGTAGTATCAACTGGTTCAACATGAACGCCCTCAAGCACTCTCTTTAAATCTGGGCTCTCTAGCTCCACCTGCTTGCTAGACTCCTTTTCAGTATATGTAATATCAATAACAAACTTCTTTCTCGGGTGAAACATGGATTTCTCATCACAAATAACATCCCTACTAATAATAAACTTAGGTGATTTGGGATCAGAACACCACAATCTATATCCCTTCACTCCAGTGGCATATCCTAGAAAGATAACTTTCTTTGCTCTAGGTTCAAGCTTACCATCATTAACATGAAAATAAACAGAACAACCAAATACTCTTAAATAAGAGTAATTAGCAAGGACAGCAGACCATACCTCTTCTAGGCTTTTAAAATCAATTGTTGTAGAAGGATATCTATTTATTAAATAGCAAGTTGTATTGATTGTTTCGGCCCAAAAGTCTTTAGACAAACCGACATCAGAGAACATGCACCAAGCTCTCTCTAAAAGTGTTCTGTTCATCCTTTCTGTAATCTATTTTGTTGTGGTGTATGCCGAACTGTACGATGACGCACAATACCTTCATTCTTACAAAACTAGTCAAACCCTGTGGAACAAAACTCTATCCCATTGTCAATTCTGAGGCGCTTCACTTTTTTTCTTGTTTGCTTCTCAATCATAACATTTCATTGTTTGAAGGTTGCAAACACATCACTCTTATGCTTTAAAGGATACACCCAAACTTTTCTGGAATAATCATCAATCGATGTTAGGAGAAAACGAGCTCCACCTTTCGATGGAACCTGAGAGGGACCCCCAAACATTTGAATGGATATAATTTAAAGTATCATTGGTTCTGTGGATACCGGTACTGAAGGACTCTATGGTGTTTGCCGAAAACACAATGCTCACAAAAGTCTAGTTTACTAGTTTTCTGACCACAAAGCAGACCTTGTTTGCTCAATACATCTAGTCCTCTCTCATTCATATGTCTTAACCGCATATGCCACAAACGTGTAGTGCTAGAATCTGAATCCTCTGAGGATGACATTGCTGCACTTATTTTCCAATCAGTCAAAATAAATGAAAATTAATAAAAATCATGGGTTGAAGCACTCGAAGATCATCTTTGTTTTACAAAAGAAAAGTTTTTAGTCATTGGGTTGAAAGCAACAAAATGGACAAAGATCATAGACTATAGTCCATGAAAATTACAAAATTTGAAATAAGCACATTAATTTTTAATTGGAATTTTTTTCAAAATAGACCCCTTTAGAAGCTTTTTTTTTAAAACGACCCCTTCTGAAAATATTTGCCATTTTCGACCCAGTTTCAGCCACCTGAAATGGTGAAAAAACATCAAAAAACTTATTTGAAGTTTAAGGCCTCCTTTAAGGCCTCATTAGTGCTAACCCAAGCACTAATGAGGCCTTAAACTTCACAGGATTTAACATTCTGTAAAGTTTTTTGATGTTTTTTCGCCATTTTCGACCCAGTTTCAGCCGGGTGGTTGAAACTGGGTCGAAAATGGCAAATATTTTCAAAAGGGAGTCGCTTTTTAAAAATAAGTTTCTAAAGGGTCTATTTTAAAATAAAATTTATCATTTTTAAATAGGTCGAAGAATCAAAATTTACCAAAATCGTGAGTTATAGTCCATGAAAATCGCAGATAATAGCCCATGAAAATCGCAATTTCTAAAACAAGAGAAGTTATTTGACATTGGGTTGAAACGAACGAAAAATGACAAAACTAGTGGGTTACAGCCCATGAAAATCACAGTTGAATAAAAATTAATTGGCATTGGGTCGAAACTAATGAAAATAGATTAAACTTGTGGATTATGAACCATGAAAATCATGAATATTGATATTCGCATAATTAATTGCCAAATGGTTGAACAAACAAAATAAGATCATGGATTGTTGCTCATGAAAATCACGGATAATAGCCTATGAAAATCATGATTTTTAAAAGAGGAGAAGTTATTTGACATTGGGTCGAAACGAACGAAAGTTGACAAAAATAGTAGGTTAGCCCATTAAAATTATGGTTTTTTGTGAATAAAAATTAATTGTCATCATGTCAAAAATAACGAAAATAAATTAAACTCGTGGGTTATGACCCACAAAAATCAAGAATATTGATATTCCCATAATTAATTGCCAAATGGTTGAAACGAACAAAATGGACAAAGATCATGGCCTGTTACCAATGAAAATCATAAATTGTGAACTACGCGCATTAATTTTCCATTAAGTAGAAGAACAAAAGTTGACACAAAAATTATGAGTTATAAAGCCCATGAAAATCAAAAGTTCTGACGAGAGAAAACTTACATGTCTATGGGTCAAAAGGAATGAAAGTTATAAAAATTCATGGATTATAGCTCATGAAAATCCTAATATTGTAACTCAGACAATTAATTACAAAATGGTTAATGAAAAATGGAGAAAATCATGGACTAAGACCTATGAAAATCACAAATTTTGCAGTATGCATAGCGTTTTTCCATTAGATCAAAACATGAAAATTTGTAGATTATAGACTACGAAAATAACAACTTTTCGTAAAAGAAAATTTAATTGCTATTGGATCAAAACTAACAAATTAGAACAAATATAGCCCATGAAAATCATAAATATTGAAATTCACATAATTAATTGGAAAAGAGTTGAAATGAACAAAATGGATAAAAATCATGGGCTATAGTCCATAAAGTTAACAAAATTTGAAGTATGCATATTAATTGTCCATTAGGTCAAAAAATGAAAATTCACAAAAAAACGTGAATTAAAGCCCATAAAAATCACAAATTTTAAAAAAGAACATATTTGCCATTAGGTCAAAATGAATAAAAATTGTCAAAAATCATGGGTGCACATGAAAATTGTGAATATTA